AACTTACAACAGTTCATTTAGTGTCTGTTTCAATGTTACAATGGCACTGAAAAAACTGACATGACAGTTTTTCACATTTAAGACCATTGTAGCATCGCCATAGTCATGTGATCAAAATTCAGATGCTTGGCAACTTACTCATGACTGTTGCAAGTGTCCATGTGATCACCATTTGCCACTGTTGGAAGAAAAATCCGGTCCAGTTCCAAGCCAGGAGAAAGGTGCTAGGAATAAAATGGAGGATAGCTGGCTGCAAGGAAAGGTTTATTTGGATTGCAGAAACTTCATTGACAGAAACTTGTTACTGGGATGGCTGACCCCTGGGCTATAGATGGATTTTTATAGGACTCTGCTTTGGGGGTTGTGCAATGTAGTGAGCCTTGTGTCTTTTGCTATTCTAATGGCGGTGAGTTAATCTTATTACGTCCTAAAGATCAAATCCTGTTCTGGGTGGGAAATGTAAATTTTAATCCCATCAGCTGGATCTGAAGGTGCTTTGTTTGTGAATAGATTGGTTCGGTCTTCCTGAATGGGGACAAAATATCCATCTCTAAAGATTTCAGGCATCTGCTGGAGGCTGTTTTACTATGCAGGAAATTGGGGCTGCTTTCTGCCTTTAAGTAAGAGCATGTTTCTCCATTTCTCCTTTTAGGAAATATAATATTCTGCCTCTTTTAATATTAATAAAGAATATTTTAATCTGAGGGGGTGGGAGGGCTTCCTACACCACCTTCTGACAAGCACAACAAACAGAGGGGCCAAATTCACTTAACAACCAAATCACTAATTTAACAACTGCAGTGATTGTCAACAGTGGTGTCCCCCAAGGCAGTGTTCTAGGACCAACTCTCTTCATACTCTACATAAATTACCACTGTGATCATATTAAGAGCAACTGCGTTCTCTTCGCTGATGATGTAAACCTCTTCAACACCACCGACAATACTGCAACCCTTCAAAAAGACCTCAACTATGTATCAATGCTGTCTTACATATTGGCAAAAAAAATATATCAGAAAATAAAATACAAGCTGACTAGTCAAGACCTTGTTGATGATCCAAACTCTGTCAAGGACCTTGGAGTACTCATCTCTAATGATCTAAGTGCTAAAGCCCACTGTAACTACATAGCAAAAAGGCATTAAGAGTTGTTAACCTAATCCTACGTAGCTTTTTCTCTGGTAATATCACACTACTAACTAGGGCATACAAAACATTTGCCAGACCAATACTCGAATA